AAACCAGTGGTCCCCAACCTTTTGGGGCTGCCGGGCACCCAAGGGCGGGGCTTCTCATGTGCCGGGCGCCCGGGGATGGCACCGATCATGCGCCGGGGGCAGGGGCCACCCATGCGCTGCACGCCCAGAGCCGGCACTGCACATGCGCCGTGTGCTGGGGGCAGGGCCATCCCAGATCATTTGGTGGGCGCACATAAATGCCCTGGTGGGCGCCATGGCACCCGCGGGCACCACATTGGGGACCACTTAAACCTTCAACTTGCAGAACATACAGCAGCTGGCTCAGGTTTTTTTTTTTTTTTTTTTTTTTTTTCCATGAATTGCTTATGATTCATGAAGGCTTAAGTTTTATACTTCACTTCATTTCCAGGGAATTTATTTTGAAATCTTGTTAATTTTTTTTTTTTTCAATTTTCAGAAATGGATGACGAGGACTGTGAAAGAAGAAGAATGGAATGCTTAGATGAAATGTCCAATCTTGAAAAACAATTTACAGATCTCAAAGATCAGTGAGTATTTTTTTTAAATAGTTTCTTCCTTATGGGAGCTCATACTTTTAGTAGAGTTATAAACAACACGAACAAGCAGTCTGTCCTTTCCTGTGTTGCAGGAATTACTCTTATTTGGAAGAAGAATCTATCATTCCAGCAGCTATTGACTCTTCAAAGAGTATAGTGTTAAATTGGTGTTCTGAAATGGAATAATTGTGGGGGTAGCCAAATTTCTACTTTGTTCTTTGAGTAGAACTTTTAGGGTGCAGATAAATGTAGCTTTAAAGTAAGAATGGGGGGTCTCAAATGTAGTTGCTGGGCAGAGGTGCTAGCATGAGTCTCTTGTCCCAAAATGTTCAGGTGATATTTGGGGGGGAGGTAGCATCAGGATCCCTTTTTCTTCCATATGTCATTGGTACCAGTATATATGCAACCAGAGGCAACCTACCAGCATTAATTAAAAATGTGTTTAGAAGTCTCGAGAGAGCAATTATCTCTGTACATGTTGTGCAATTCACCAAAGAGACCGTGATTCTTGTGGTCACCCCTAACCTGGATATCAACTTTTCTAAAGACTGAATCTTCTGTTATTTCAGCCTGTCTGCTCCTCACAGCCATGTCCACATCACTGGGAGTGACTATTGAAATACATGCAGAATGAACAGGGGTTCCTATCTAAAGGACTTTTGCACTTTAATCTCTATTTTCTCCTCCCCAAATATTTGGGGTTTCCCCTTGGGCTGTTAGTCTATACAAAGCTTATTTGTTTAGAGATTATAGGTCAGATCTGTCATTGCCTGATTACCAGAACCCAGAGTAGCTATGCTGAGGTCAGTGTCAGGATCGAGCTGGAGTCCAGTGTCGAGGACCTTGAGTCACACATGTAGCGGCTTCCGTGATTATGGCTGCATTCGGTGGATTTACCCCCAAATTGTCTGCAAAGTTTGAGAGCATCTGCCTGAATTTCTCTCCCTTCTTCCCCACAAAGGATGCCTCAAATGCAGTTCTTCAATGTTCTCTCTTTTGTGGCAGCAGTGAAGGTAGTGCTACCCATTCATGAAGGGGAATAGCTAAAATTAATGCCTTGCAGCAGACTCCATCCTCCCTGACCCCCTTCTCGAAGAGGATGGAAGGGAAGTATTTTGTTCCATCTAAGGATCACAGATATTTCTACACTCATCCAGCCCCAAACTCCCTTGTGGCGGAGGTGGTGAACCACTGAGAGACAAGGCCAATCCAGGGCTATCCCTAAAAAGAAGGATTCCAGGAGACTGAAGTATTTGGACATAAAGCATATTTGTCCTCGAGCCTGCACCTAAGGGTAGCCAACCACTAGGCCCTCTAGGGCTGTTGTGCCTTCACCTGTGGCAAAACATGGTTAAGTTCAAGGTTTCTTTTCCAGAAGATGTCAGGAAGGAGCTCAAGGCTCTTCAGGATGGTATAGCAGCTGCCAGGGAGACCCTTCAGGCAGCAGCGGATGTCACAGATCTAGCTGTCTGCACTATGGCTTCAGTAATGATTTGCAAAGTGTCATGACTGGGAACTGCTGAGACCCAGGAGAAGCAATTTGTTGCAGGATCTTCCCTTTGATGGATGCTCCAAACCCCTTGGTGCCCCCCCCCACTATCGTCCTTGGGCAGAATGAATTTTTTCATGTGCACCAGCATGGTGGTGATGTGTTACAAATCATCCCAATGTTGGTGCTCATAACAAAATTCATTCCACCTATGGACATAAAAATTTACAGGGAACACTGTCAACAACCCTCATCGAGGTCTCCACATACCCGATGACAACAGCCAGGGTATGCCTGCACCTCCTATACCATGTTGTAAGTACTTGCAAGACTTCGTATGTGGCCTTTCCAACTATTGCTGGTCTTGGTTTTCTCCCAGTTAGGGGACCCACCTGGAAAAAATTCTTCCAAGAACAGTTCTTATCTCTCTCGTCAGTGGTAGTGTGATCTGAAGGACATTCTAGAAGGAGTCCCATTCCAGAGTGCCCCTCCATTGTTCAAGTTGGTGTCAGATGCCTTGGATCTCAGTGGGGAGCACACCTCAGCGAGATCGGAACCTGAGGAGGCATGGTCCCAAGAAGAGACGCACCTTCATGTAAATGTCACATAGCTAAGGGCAGTCTGTCTCGCAAGTGTAGCTTTCTTACCTCATCTGGAAGGCAGAGTAGTTAGGGTCCTCACAGACAATATGACCTCTGTGTTCTATATCAACAGGCAAATGTAGCCCAATTGTTGACTTTCTGCCGTGAGGCCATCAAGTTCTGGGAATTCAGTATCTGCCACAGAATTTAACTCAAAGCTTCTCAACTCCCAGGAGTCAAGAACACCTTGGCAGATCACCCGAGCAGGGACTTTTCCCTCTCACCATGAGTGAGAGCTACATCCAGAAATAGCCCATGCAGTCTTACATTTGGGGAGTTTGCCACCTTTGCAACTGACCAGAACAAGAAATACCTCTGATTCTGTTCCAGATGAGAGTTAAAGGTGGGTTCCTTTTCCAACACCTTCCTCATCTCCATGGGCAGGGGACTTAAGTATGTATTTCCCCTGATTCTGCTCATTAAGTAAGTTTTAATGAAAATCAAGACAGACAAGATTTGAGTTATTGTAATTGCCCCACCATGACAACAGCAACACTGGTTTAGCATCCTGTCAAACTTGGCAATGCTTCTCCTGTGGCCCATACCAGACCGTCTGGACTTCCTCTTCTAGCACAATAGGCAAGTCTTGCACCTGAAACTCAGAGTTCTCCCACCTTGCAGCATGGATGCTGCATGATTGAACCTCAAGGAACAAACTTGCATAGAGACTGTCCAACAGGAGCTCCTTGAGACCAGAAAGCCAGACAAACCTATGTGGCAAAATGGACCAGGTTCTTGCATTTGGTTGCTAATGGACCTCTTCCTCTTGAGGGCACTGCTCCAGTTGATCCTGGATTATCTACTTCATGTAAAGAGCCGTGGTTTGTTGGATTCCTTGATTAAGGTGCATCTGACAGCCAGTTTCCACCTTTCACTTGCTGATACAGGGTCACACAGGCTCTTCCTTCAGATGAATCTTCCAGTCTCTTAGACTTTTTTTGGGGGGGAGAGGGGACTATTGGTTAGTGTCCCTGGGCCATGCTTTGAACCTTGGGCTTCATGCTTCTTCTCCCACCTCTTGTGGAAGGTGGCCTTCTTGGTGGCAATAACATTGGCTAGACGGGTCTCCGAGTTTTGAGCCTTAACCTTAGAGTCTCTGTGTGTAGTCTTTCGGTTCTAACCCCTCTAGACTTTCCTCCCCAAGGTGGTGTGTACTTTCGACATGAACCAACACATCTTCTCCCATGTATCCTGTGCAGCTTGAGGCAGTGGACCAGAAGAGAGATGCCTTCATACGTTGGATGTGAGAGAAGCCCTGGCTTTCTTTGTAAAGTAGACCAAGTCTTTCCTCAAGTCAATAATTTTTCATCTGCACAGCTGAGAGGATGACAGGTCTCCCAGTATCTGCACAAATCTCTAATTGGATCACCTTGTGTATTCATACTGCTACGACCTGACAGGGATCTTCCCCGCCACAGATTTGTTAGAGCCCATTTATTTAAGGCCTACGTGTTGGCATTGATGTTCCTGGCTCACATTCCAGTCCAGGTCACTTGCAGAGTTGTTATACGGTCTTCAGTTCACACTTTTGCAGCCTGTTCACCGTGAAAGAGATGCTGGGTTCCTCAGCCATGTTCCATGAACTCCTTCCCACATTTGGAGGGTACTGCTTGGAATCTCCTACTGTGGAATGGACATGCTATCTCGCATGTAAGCTGTGATATATGGACGGAGTGGCCACCAGGGCACCTGTGCTTTTTCCTCTTTCCTCTTCCTTCGAAAGAACTCCCTTTTCCCCATCCACACGTGACTTTTTCTTAAAGAGCTCTTTCAGAAAAAGGCTTCTTCCTCATAGAAGGAGGATTACCAATGTCAGAAAAACCCCTCTGTTCTTTCGATTTTTCTTTTGGAAGAATGCAATTGCAGTGTGTACATAATTGGCTGTTTTTCCGAAAAAACTTTGTAGTGTAGACATACCCTGAGCTAGGGATGTAAAATCCTGTTTAATGTCTAGGGGGTTAACTAAGGAGCTGCTTCAGCCTGGCTCCTTCTGGCCCCACAATGGTCTGCAGGCTCCGAGCCTGCACAGGCTGGGAGTAGGCAGCCTCATGCAAGTCCAGAAGTGGCAACCCAACTCATTTTTTCCTGGCCCCGCGTGTGATTGCCAACTCCTAGCTTGTGTGGGCTGGGAGCTGGCAGTCCTGTGGGGCTGAAGCAGCTCTCCACCTGAAGTGAGCTGCTCTTGGGTAATAGTTAAGGGCAATGTTCTTTCTAATCTGCACATCTTCACAGGTGATTCATCAGCCCTGGCTCCCTGCATGGAGCTGACTGGGCAGGCCTGATGAATCACCTGTGAAGCTGTGCTGCCACACAGCTTAAAGGGAACACTGGATAAGGATGGTGCTTACCAGGTAACCAGTTAAACTAGAGATGTGAACAGAAAACTGGTTAAGCCAACTTAAGTCTTCAACATCAGTGCAGCAGACTCTCAGCTAATAGTCTCAACAATAACGTGTATTGAAAATTCCATGTAGATTTTATTTCCAGAAATAATTCTGTAATGTCAACCTTTTTTGTGTTAAGTAGGTATTAATTGCTGCTGAAGTTCTACTAATCTATTCTTCTCTCCTTCAGTGTCTTTAAATAGATTTATCTTTTAATAGGCATGAAGTGAAAACTAAAGCAGGTAAGCTAATATTGATGGATAACCTGTGCTATAGGTAAAGGATTTTTCCCCACATTGCTCTAACAATATCAACTTGTTGAGAAAGGATCCATTTTTGAAGTTTTTAAAATATAAACTCACTTCCCATGCTAGCTGAGTATGTGATATCTTAGCTGAACGTGCCAGTTAGTCTTAATAGTTATGGTGAGAGTTTGTGGTATGCGGAATCTGTCCACTGAAAACACACATGAAGGCTCATCTCTTTCTATGTTGGTGTCTCATCTTTTGTGTGTAGTGTTGCTACCAGTTTGGGAAATATTTAGAAAAGTTTCTGGATGCTATCACCAGTTCCTAGTTGCTTTTCCCTTGTATCTTTTTAAGGTGAAGTGATCATATTCTGTAGTGCTATTATCTGTAATTTAATCTTCAGAAAGAAAGGATAGAAAAGCTGTGCTTGTACATCTTTTCTAGAAGGGTGAAGTAGATGAAAATAAAATAGTTTAAAAGTGATTTTTGTTTTAGAATTTAGTGGCAACAGACTTAAATTTCTAGGTATTAGTAGATTTGTCATGGGATTATAAAATTTCATGATTTGTAGATGTGATTGTGTAAAGTGTTCTTATACGAAACTATTGTTTCGTCTTGTGTTGGCTCTTAAGTAATGCACTACATTTTTATTTTAAGACTTTACAAAGAAAGATTAAGCCAAGTAGATGCAAAACTACAGGAAGTCATAGCTGGAAAGGCACAAGAATACTTGGAACCATTAGCAGCTTTGCAAGAAAACATGCAAATCCGAACAAAGGTGGCAGGTAGGAATGTGATGTGATTGTTGCTGTTTTAACAATATAGAATTACTATGCGACTTTAAAGTCAATACCTCAGAAGCAAAAGCTAATGGGTGCTCTCTTTAGTAGAAGCCAACGTTGTAAAAGGTTGTCTGGTTTTATGAAGGTATTGTTTGATTAAACCCCTAGGTATTGTGATGTTAACTTTTGCTGCATCTGTTGTCTGTCTCCATAGCATTGTACAAAATGATTGCATTTCTGCATTAATAAGGGTTGCTATTTCTATTAGTGTCAGAGGATTTAAAAAATAAAGGATATGAAAAAGTGAAGGCGACTTTACCTTTTAGATTAAGTTTAAATTGATCAAATTTTGAGTTCAGACTACTCTTTTATAGCTTTAAAAATCTTGTTTTGAGTTGTGATGTTAGTTGTCTTCTACAAATTTTAAAACTACTACTGTATAAGAATTTCTTAGATCCTTAACATACAACTTTAGATGACAGAATGACTACAAACTTAAGTGTGCTTGTTTATTTTGAACATCTAGCACAAAGAATATATTCAATTATTTTCTAAATAGTTTTTAGTTATAGTTTTCTATAACCAGCTTAGCTGCCTTGCAATGCACATATCCAGACCTTATTGTGCAGAAGATATAGGGCATGTAAATTCCATAACAATGAGGCTATACCAGGGATGCAGATCTTAACACTCCCTCCCCACCCCCACAGAAAAAAAAAAACCCCTAAACATTTCCAGGAATTTTAAACTTTCTTAACACCCCCCCCCACCCCCCCAGAAAAAAAAAACCCTAAACATTTCCAGGAATTTTAAACTCTTAGCATTTAGCTAAATTGGATTGTAATATTTGGACATTATTTTATTAAGAATTCTTGCTAACTCCATTTTGTCTGCTCAGTTACAGTATTGGCCAAGCCTCATGGCAGTTACATGGAATGTCAACATGACTAAGAAATAGAAGAGGAAAACAAAAATCTGCTTCTCCTTTTCTATACTATTACTAAATTTTTAGAGGCAATCACTTTAGGTAGATTAATCCACAGAGGTTGAACCTGTCTGTGATAGAGAGGTGTTCCCTAACACAGGCTAGAAAAAAGCCAAGAGGAACCATGCCCATCTCCTCTGAGAGGAAGACAAGCAGAAAGAAAATGCAGTTAAACAATATAGAAAAATGAGAAAATACACAGGTTTGTATCATTAGTGCTGGTGATCACAAGCACTGCCAACATCTCCTTCCTCATTACTTAATACCAGGCTACGATGCGAAATCAAGTCAGGCCTAGAGGATCAAATGGGAAATAAGGAAGCTTTTGGCTCACCTCATCCCTCTCTTTTCTTTATTCTGTGGGTTCCTCTCTGGGGCGGGTTTCCTTACTGCTCCCTCATATAAAGATAACTTTGGATTTCTGGGGCTGGTGATTCTTTCCCTCAGGAGATCACCCAACCCTTCTTCAATTCTAGATGTCCATCTTCATAATTGGTCTCTCTCTCTCCTTGACAAATTATTGTAATGTGTTCTATTACCCTAATCTCGGTCTTGGCTCCTGTGGCTCAGACCTTTACTACAAGTACTAAGTCTGGCGTCCGAGTGATATGGAGAGGCAGTAAATTGGGATTCCCAGACCCAGTCACATCTTCAGTACAATTAGCTGACCTTTAGTTCCCCATCAGAAGATGAGCAGGAAGCTTAAGAGAAGGAAGGGCAAGAAAAGCTGTTTGTCCCAGAATAGTATGAGATGCTTTACATAGGGTAGTAGCAATACTAGAGCTTGCTAGATAACTCTTCCCAGTCCCCCTTTATCCTTTAAAAGAGAGAAGGCAGGAGGATGAGACTAGTTTGGTCCCTGATAGGCAGCCCTATACATTTCCTTACTTGCTGCCTTAGAAGATCTCATTTGTATTCACAAAGATCAAAATGCTGGAAAGACAGGTCAACTTTTTTGCAATGTCCATAGCACTTATCCAGTGAGTAGGGCCTACCAAATTCACAGTCCATCATGGTCATTTTCATGATCATAGAATTTTAAAGAGTCCTAAACGTCATGATTTCTGATGTATAAACCTGAAATTGCATGGTGCAATAACTGTTGGAGTCCTGATCCAAAAAAGGCTTAGGGGTGAGGGAGCCAACCGTGTTGCTATCCTTCCGTCAATGCTGCTGGTGGGGTGCTGCCTTTGGAGCTGGTGAGCTAGCCACAAGCTGTTGCTCTCCAGCCACCCAGCTCTGAAGGCACCGTAGAAGTAATGGTGTCAATACTGTGCCCCCCCTACAATAACTTTTTGCAACTCCTCCCCTTACCGGGTGACCACCTTTTTGGGTTGGGACATCCAGTTTGAGAAATGGTGAAATTTGAATACAATAGGGTAAAAGTACAGAAAAGACCAGATTTTATGGTCCAATGATACATTTTTCATAGCCATAAATTTGGTAGGTTCCTACTAATGAACCCACCCAAATTAAACACAACTGTTGTTTGGAGGACACAACATTTCCTATGAGGAGACTTTCTATCAAAGAATTTGATACACATAATGGTAAACTCCTTCCTAAGGGGAAATAATGGAGTAAGTTCCAGCAGCTTCTATTTGCTTCACTTGAGTGATGCTAATATAGACAGATCCTTGTTCACTTTTTGGGGTTTCTTGATTTTTCTCACAGAGTCAATGTCTACACTATGAGTTAAGGTTGATTTCTTACCACACAATCTTGTAAAGTTGAAGGTCCATGTCCCCCTGCCTTCAAGAATTCAGTGTAGTTCAAAGTAGCACACCCTCAGTACGGAGACTAGGGTCGACTTTGAGAGCGATGCACTGTGGATAGCTATCCCACAGTGCCTGTGCCACTTCCCATTCTGAGTTATGCTCCTGATGCATGCTGGGACCAAAACTGTACAATGGGTGATTCTGAGTTCATGTTGTCAGCATCCTATATTGTGATATATTCCTTCCCCCTCTTGCTGGAGATCAGTGGGAAACAATCTTTTTGTGCCCTTTTTGGCCCTGGTTACGCATGCAGATGTGATAGCAGTGGGAACCTGGACCCTCTTGTGGATCTCATGAATCAAAGGTGATAGCAGTGAGAACCTGGACCCTCTTGTGGATCTCATGAATCAAAGCGTTAATGATGTTGTGCCTAATTTTGGAGTATGTTGAGAGCATATACCTGGCATTCGAGCAAGAGGATTAATTTCGTAAGACCATAAAACTTGGCAAATTGCTTTGCCCTACCCTGAAGCACAGGAACACCTAAATGAGACCTGCTCTGACAGTGGAGAAGCGTGTGGCAATTACCCTGGGGAAGCTTACAACGCCAGCTAGCTACCAGTCAGTTGGAAATCAACTCTGAGTGGGGAAATCTAAGTAGGTGCTGCTATTGTACAAGTTGCAAAAGCAATCCATACCCTTCTGCTATGGAGAGTAGTGTCTCTGGGAAACATGGAGGACACAATGGAGCACTTTGCTGCAGTGTGGTTCCCTAACCGTTGGGATGATAGTCAGAACACACATTCCCATCCTGGCACCTGACTACCTTGCCAAGGAGTACATACATTGCAAGAGGTAATTCTTGATGGTGCTGCAGGCACTGGTGGCTCTCAAGGGCTGTTTCACTGACATCAACGTGAGATGGGATGATGCATTCATCCTTAGGAACTCAAGCCTCTTCAGAAAGCTGCAAGCTGGAATCTTTTTCCCAGACTGGAAAATTAAAATCTGAGAGGTGGAAATGCCAGTAGTTATCATTGGTTACCCAGCCTACTCCTGGCTCCTGTGGCTCATGAAGCTGCACACAAGCAGCTTCGACCGCAGTAAGGAGCAGTTCAACTACAGGCTGAGCAAGTGCAGAATGGTGGGGGAATGCACTTTTGGATGTTTAAAAGGAAGGTTTAGGAGTCTACTTACTAGGTTAGACCTCAGCAAATGCAACATTCCCTTTGTAGTGGCAGTTTGGTGTATGCTCTATAATCTTTGAGAGCAAGAGGGAAACTTATGTGGAAGGGTGAGGAGCTGAGGCAGAGGGCCTAGCCAAAGACTTTGTGCATCCAAACACCAGGGTGATAAGGAAAGCACCTTGTGTGGGGCAGAGGCTTTAAAAGTTTTATGAATGCTCAGTTTTGAGATTCGTGCACATTGCTTTCAGCATGTTCGCCTGTAAACTCCCTTCCCTCCCTCTACACACCCCTGCAATACTAGCAATAAAGAGACTGTTGTTCGGAAATCATGGGTTCTTATTTAGGGAAGATAGCAGGGCCAGAAAATGAGTCCATGGTGAAAACCTTTGAGAGAGGGGAGGAGGGAAAGAATCCAGGCAAGAAAGACAACCTTCTTTTCCTTTGTGACAACCTGGAGCATGTGTGTGAGGCTGTCCTTGAGTTCCCCTCCCCAAAGCCAAGTGTCTTTGAGGGAGGCAGCTATGGAACTGGGTAAGGAGGGCAAGTTGGGGGGGGGGAGGGATAGCCCAGTGGTTTGAGCATTGGCCTGCTAAACCCACAGTTGTGAGTTCAATCCTTGAGGGGATCATTTAGTGATCTGGGGCAAATCTGTCAGGGATAGTACTTGGTCCTGCTATGAGGGCAGGGGACTGGACTCAACTCAATGACCTCTCAAGGTCCCTTTCAGTTCTATGAGATGGTATATCTCCATTTTATATTTATTATATTATATAAAGTTGAATTACAGGGTGAGGGCACGGAGGGCGCAAGAGTCTGTCCAGGTTTGTGTCAAAAAGCCACCAAAACATCACAGATGCCATGGATAACAGACACTTTCCTGGTGCTTCACTTGCAGTTACCTGCATGCTCTCCTTTTCTGATGCTAAAATCACAGCTCTTCCACTTAGTTACATGTAACTGGGCAGATTGCATTTGCTCTTTGAACAGGTCTTCTCTTGTTTATTTTTGCCTATGGGTTTGTGCAAAGTGGACAGCTGGTGGAGCCTAGGGAGTACACTGCAAGTTCATTGCTGTTTCAGCTGTAACAAAGTTACAAGGGCACACATTATAGGA